TATGCTTGGTGGAGTAAACAAAGACAGCAGAAGAGAAAAAGAAGGGAAGACTGACAACACATGAAAAGCTAGATTGATGGTCAAGTACCATGGAGTCCACTTCCACACACTTTTGTACCTTGGAAAGAACAATAACTGTTAACGAGGCATTTGCCCTTTTGCCAAAGTGTTGTTTGAACTGTTACATGCCACCCCAATCTCTGAGTGGTGTGAAAATCCAGGCGTTCCAGGCACTTTCCCAGGGGTCTGCTTCCTTGGAATGATGGAGAAACTATAGTGTCTTTAGGACAGGGGTCAGAAAACTTTTTCAGCAGGGGGCCGGTCCACTGCCCCTCAGACCTTGTGGGGGGCCAGACTATATTTTGGAGGGGGAAATGAACAAATTCATATGCCCCACAAATAATCCAGAGATGCATTTTAAGTAAAAGGACACATTCTACTCATGTAAAAGCACGCTAATTCCCGGACCGTCCGCAGGCCGAATTGAGAAGACGATTGGGCCGGATCTGGCACCTGGGCTTTGGTTTGCCTTCCCATGCTTTAGGATATATGTTTTTATTTACCCATATTTACAACCTGAGCATAAGGCGGAGCGGCTCACATCATTAATACTCCAACAGATATTGCTTCTCCATTAGTCACAGCTTTGAATCCAGCACAGAGCAAACATGTCTATGTGCCTCCAGCTTCCAGCCTGCTTCCAGCTTAGCTCTCACACTGACAATTGTTGTCCTACCTAGCAACTAGCTGAAGGGGGTGGAGGAAAGGCCCACCCAGCAGCCTGGAGGGCACAATCACTTAGTTGTAGCTCTTGCAACCTAGCTCAAATCTTTTGGGATGTTGAAGAGGGCACTTAAGTGGCCAGCTGAAGTCATTGTCTTACAAAAAAGCTTGTCTGACCTCTATTAGATTCTAATAAGGCTATTGATAGTCACAATGTTCTACCTCAACTGTCAGAGGAAATAAGCCTCTGTACGCCAGTTGCTGAGAATCCCAAGTCGGGGAGGTGCTGCATAGTTTGGGTCCTACTTGAAGGTTTTCCTTAGGCATCTGGTTGGCCACTGTGAGAAGAGAATGCTGCACTAGATGGACCTTCGGACAGATACAGCAGGACTTTTCTTATGTTCTTAAGGGTAAACTTCACCAAAGCCTGATGATCTAAGGGATCCCAGCCCAGGCTACAACCCTATTACCAGGAGCAAAACAACTGAGGCTGAACTACAAGCTTAAGCTCATACTTGAGGATATTTATGGAAACTTTATTTTCCTGTGTACCTATCGTCCATATTTTATGAGATTTGCTGGAGCCAAGCTGAAGCAGGGCTGGAACAGAAGAAGCAATGTTCTTCACAATGACTTGATGGCGCAGGTCCTTTTCTGTAACAGAATGTTCCCTGAGTGACACACACTCTCAAGAACTCAGGAATGAAGTGTGTTTTGCCTTGAAAGGTACTTGTTTTATGAAATAAGATTGGGGAGGGGGATTAAATAGAAAAAAGAGCTACAAGTGATAGAATTCTTTTGCACTGGCAGGAGCGAGGGACATCTGGTGGGAGAGAGCGACCAGTAGTGGTGCATGAGGAAGTGTGCTGCTGCAGCTGTGCCACTGTCCCAGTGGCAGCAGTACTGATGCTGACTAGGAATGGGATGTGATGGGGCAGGGTGGTGGTGACAGCAGAAACGTACTAGCCACTGCCGCTGCTCACCCAGTGCTTGTGCAGCTTGCTGCCACAGCAGCCAACCATCCTGGTCCAATGAAGTAGCTGTGCCCAGGAGGGCAGTGCAATGATGGCACTCTACTTCGCACACCATGACTGCAGCGACAGAGGGAGCCATTGCTGTGGGCAGGATTAAAAGCTGCATTAAGGCTCATAAAAAGCTGCAGGTGGGGGGGGGGCAAGGACGCTTAAGCTGCTAGGTATCTTATCAAATGATGAGCTTGCAAGAGAAATGGACTTTGGGGAGATAATTGCTGCTTTTGCAATGGAAAAGGCCAGAAAAAAAATATTGTTTTAAAGAGAATTATTTTGTTTATAAAATGTTTGCAGCCATATTGGTCTATTAAACATATAAAATAAAAATATTGATGGGATAATATCTATCTTAAGGTAAAGGTAAAGGGACCCCTGACCATTAGGTCCAGTCGCGGCCGACTCTGGGGGTTGCAGCGCTCATCTCACTTTTTTGGCCAAGGGATCCGGCGTACAGCTTCCGGGTCATGTGGCCAGCATGACTAAGCCGCTTCTGGCGAACCAGAGAAGCGCACTGAAACGCCATTTACCTTCCCGCCGGAGTGGTACCTATTTATCTACTTGCACTTTGACGTGCTTTTGAACTGCTAGGTTGGCAGGAGCAGGGACCAACCAACGGGAGCTCACCCCGTCGCGGGGATTCGAACTGCCGACCTTCTGATCGGCAAGTCCTAGGCTCTGTGGTTTAACCCACAGCACCACCCATGTCCCTTAATATCTATCTTAGGAACAATCAAAAGATTAAACAAAAATAGTCTCACCCAAAGTGGGTAGAGGCTTGGTAGATAAGACCCAGTATTGGCTTAGATGTCATGTCAGAAATGTAAAGAAAGTAATTTCAGAATTAAAATAGAATTTTTTCTTTCATTATTTATGAGACTATATTTATGGTATCATGGCATGCGTGTAGGAAGGGGTGCATGTTAAAAGTTTGTACTATGCTGAGGCCCTGCTTAAATCACAAAACCCCTGCTCCAGAACTTGAGAGGCTCAGTGGACCAGTGGTCTGAATCACTTTATAAAGTGGCTTCAGACTGACTTTAAATCAGCAAAGATCCACAGTAGGGTTGTAATCATATTGCAAATAAGTCCCAAGGTAGTAAAAGCTAAAACACAATTCCCCCCCCCCCGCCCAACACAACCATAATGATGAGTTCAATTGTCCTCATATGGATTAGGCAGGTGATGCTAGAGAGAGAAAACTTCCCGAACTTGTAAAAAAAAAAGATTCCCAGAACTCCTAGTTCTGGGGCACACGCAACGAACATTAGTTCTTGATTTAGTCTTATGTGAAGCACAGAGATTGGATCAATAAATAAATATAGCTGAGCTGCTAGGAAACAGCAATCATAACATTGTCAAATTCAACAACTTGGTGGTGGGGGGGAAGAAATGCCTCTGCAAAATGAAAGAACGGGGAACTAAGCAGGAATTAGAGCCTTTAATAACGCAAAGAACGCTCTGGTGCTATTTAAAAACACTGGATCGGAGGCACCAATATAAATATGAATAAATGTGCAAAATCAAAAGGGATTAAGGTGTATGGCTGAAATAAGGTGTTGATGATTTCTCTCTGAGGAGACAGGTAAACAGCTGGGTGTTCTAGTTATCTGTATTGGGCTCTACTCCTTCCAACATATTCATTCCTGACCTGGCAAAGGGAGTGAAGGTGTGGTAAAATAGGTAGGCGCATATGATGCCACAGTGTCAAATCAAAATTGGAGATTTCATAACACTGTGAGAATGGTTCTGCCTTTGCCACGCTATTTGGATTAAGGCAATAATAGGTTGGCTTAGCATTACGGCCAAACCCAGACTCATGGTTTGTCCCTCCCGAGACAAATCACGGGTGGTAAACCAGCAATTCTTGGTTTATCTGGAACAGGACAATTGTATAAAGGCAAAGACCTCAGACTGGTGCAGAGTTAGGTGGACTTAAAGTCCACTGATTTAAATGGCACATAAGCAGGCCAGGCATGGCTCATTGCTGGACCATTGCTAAAGACTTCATATGAGAGGAAGCTAAAAAAACCCCAACTGTTCCTTGAAGCTTGTGGGAACTGGTTTAGATTTTAGCCACACACCCCACACAAGACAAAAGCATGTATGTACACTTAGGAGAAAAATGTACCTCTCTATAATACTATTTTTCAGCTGTCTTTTAAACACACACATACCCCTACCTGTGCACATTCACCCTCAAACACTCTCCTGTTTTTAGCGCGCACAATGATATCCACCTCTATCCAGTGGAAGGTGGTCTATTAGGGTGAATGAAGCACTGCCCCACTGACCTCAGTCTGCTCTCAGCCAGCCCCCACTTGCTTGCCTCCTTACTTACAAACAGTCCAAGTGGAGGCACAGCCTGTCATTTCCCTTCTCCGTAGCCTCAGTGTTGCACTTCTAGACCTCAGCAGGGAGGAGGAGGGAGACAAAACTATAATTAGTTGGCTTTCGCTTACTCTGGCTCCACCTACTGTTGGCCTCCTGCCTTCCACCCTACCCACCGCGAAGGGGCACCAGCCACCACTGCCTCTGTTGTACTGTTTCCAGGTCTCACAAAAACAGTTGTGGGAGCCCAACCACAGACAGTCTCCTGCTCTTTTCAAGGAAGTTGCAAACTGAGGCACTGCTTTTGACTTCCACCTTCAGCATCGCCTGCCCAGTTGACTTACGGTAGGTTGTTTAACTTTCTAGGAAACGTGATCCAGACTTTAGGAACACAGGAGCCTTCTCTTGTTTATTTGGCCTTTCTGCTTCAGGAGACCAAACTGCTTCTTAATGCCGCTATTCCTCATGTCACAGGCACTTAATCCAACCTCATGCAAAACTCAGAACAGCAGTTAACTGGAATGGGCCAGCTCTGTCCTTGCTGCCCCTTGCTGTTGGCACACCTGCCTCTGGACACGTACATAACTTTCCCAGTCTCTGCTACACACTGCGGTTTTTAACAATTTGCTTAGCACCCACAGTGCACTAGGCTAACTTACCAGCAACCCACTCGTAATATGGAGGGATGAGAAAATGTCACAGTACTTCTGGGGTTAGGTAAGTTACCTCTCATGCTGCTTCACACCGTTGGAGATTGCAGATAGCGCAGGTTGTTCTTTCAGGAAGAACTTTGCATTCTAGACAACCTAATTTCCTTTCTGGCACGCAGAAGGCAAAGTGGGAGACAGCTGCTGCATCTCCATTTGCATAGATTTGGCTCTGGACGGCAGAATACAAAAAACCTCCCTGTTACTACCCAGTGTGTGGGAACCATGAGAATTTAGGGCCAGATCCCATTTATAAGATACTACACATGATCTTAGCCAAAAGGCCGAGAAGTGATCCAGTTCCCAGTTATAAGAAAGAATTATGGTGTAGGTATCATGCCTGCTTTTGAATAGATGTAAGATTAAAGACCTGGGTGGCGCTGTGGGTTAAACCACAGAGCCTAGGGCTTGCCGATCAGAAGGTCGGCGGTTCAAATCCCCGTGATGGGGTGAGCCACCATTGCTCGGTCCCTGCTTCTGCCAACCTAGCAGTTTGAAAGCACGTCAAAGTGCAAGTAGATAAATAGATACCGCTCCGGCAGGAAGGTAAACGGCATTTCTGTGCGCTGCTCTGGTTCGCCAGAAGTGGCTTAGTCATGCTGACCACATGACCTGGAAGCTGTCTGCGGACAAACACTGGCTCCCTCAGCCTATAGAGAGAGATGAGCACCGCAAACCCAGAGTCGTCCGCAACTGGACCTAATGGTCAGGGGTCCCTTTACATTTACCTTTAAGATTAAAGTGCAAGAAAAGCAATGTATTTAGAAAACATTTGTTTGGCTACTTTTTATACCTCATAATAACTACTGATATAGTTGTTCCAGATATCACTAGTCAGAAGCACAGGTGAAGCAATGGTCCCCCTTCCTCTGGAAAGGAGACACATGCCATAATACCTTGGTGCAATGAGGGCAGGATGTTGGGGCAGAGGTCCAAGGCATCACTCTGCAGAATGAGCCACAGGGCTCCCAAACACAGAAGAGCTGGCTTGTCACATTTTAGCTGTGCACATATTATACATTTAAAGGACATGAGTGTCTCCACCCCCCCACCCGAAAATTATAATTTGTTAAGTATGCTGGAAATCGTAACTCTGTGAGTGGTAAATTATAGTCCCCAGGATTCTTTGGCTCAATTGGTTAGAGTATGGTGCTGATCGATCCCCATATGGGACAGCTGCACATTCCTGCATTGCAGGGGGTTGGACTAGATGATCCTCCGGGTCCCTTCCAATGCTACAATTCTATGATTCTACATTATGTGCTTTAAGTGTGCTTTAAATATATGGTGTGTATACAGCCTCCAAGACGAGTAAGTGATGCACATTACCATCAAAAGGGGATCCTCTATAAAATGAAAGAGGGGATAACCCATAAGACTAATGCACATTTCCACCCCGCCCAGTAAATCCAGTGTGTAAAATTCAAAGCAAAGTCTAAAATTTAGGGCTGGCCCTACAGTTGCATAAGTTGTGGAAACAAATTATGACTCCACTTCATAAAGTCCAGTTTGCAGAGATGGACAGTGCAACCTACTGACTTGATATTACAGAAAATGAAGATGTTAAACACAGAAAAACATCTTACATGTTTCTTCCTTAGACTTTTGATATCTTCCTACAGGAATCATATGCTACCGTAATTTGATTTAGACTCTTATCTTAATTAGCTTCATCTCAGAGCCAGTTCTTCTTTTCCTCACATAGATATCGGATGTCATAAACATGCCTTTCCCATTGGCAAAATCAGCCCAGAAACCCTTAACATCTCTCCAGTGGAAGAGTGCATTTGAGAACCCTTGTACCTCTCACTTGAGCACTTACTATGCAAGCCTATACACGCATAAGAACATAAGAAATGCCTGCTGGATCAGGCCAATGGCCCATCTAGTCCAGCATCCTGTTCTCACAGCAGCCAACCAGATGCATGTGAGAATCCCCAAAGGGGGACTTGAGTGCAACAGCACTTTCCCCTCCTGTGGCTTCCAGCAACTGGCATTCAAAAGCATTGCTGCCTCCAACTGTGGAGGTAGAACATAGCCATCAATAGCCTTCTCCTCCATGAATTTGTCCAATCCTCTTTTAAAGCCATCCAAGATGGTGACCATCACTGCCTCCAGGGGGAGCAAGTTCCAGGTATACACACACACACACACACACACATATTTGCCAGAGGTCAGTTCCAGCACCTCTTGGGTGGGCGCCATTGCCATTCTAAGAGAACAAGGGAGAAGTTCGTGGTCAGCTCTGGCACCTCTTTTTCTAGAAAAATAGTACTGATTTCAGTGCCTCTGCGGAAGACTTTTCTTTCACTTCCAAAGAGGTCAGGCCGTAGTAAACCTCTTTCTTTTATTGTACAGAAATTATTCTAACCATTGCTGTGCGAGCTTTCATAGGTAAGGGCCTACTACATCAGATTCATCATGATTGTCCTTCACAATCCACTTCAACGCTTCTCATCAAGTGAGTGTTTGCCAAGAAAATATCTCCTTATATGAAGGATTCATCTGACAATCGCAATGTGCACTCTGCTAAAAATCACCAAGCACAATAATGATATCATTGTTGGTCTATTAAGAATGCAAGTGCTATATTACCCTTTTAGGGATGTTCCCATCATCATCATCATCATCATCAAATCCACAACAGCAGCAATTCCAGTTCTTCATGCCTGGCTATAGTCTTTACTGGGAAGTTGGGAACATAATTATATTAGCCAGGCATGTAGAACTGGAATTGCTGTTATTGTGGACATTTAAATACAGAGGGCACAGACCATAGGCAGCCATTTTAGAAGGGCTGTAGCTGATTCTATTTCCCAGACATCGCTAGGCAGCAGGTGGCTCTCCTATATCAATAACTCTCAAACAGCAAGACACTTCTGCACTTACTTTCCTACCTCAGGAAAGATAGGAGCTTGATGCCCCCTGGATCTTCTTGGACTACAATTCTTATCAGCCCTAGCCAGCAGGTCAGGGATGATGGGAGTTGTAGTCCAGCTACATAGCCCATAAACCAGTTTCCAGCTGTGACCAGCCACATACCTCCAGGAAGCTCAGAAGGACATGAAGGCAATGGCTCTTCCCCACTGTTTGTCCTGGGCATCATTGCTGAATGAACCACTAATTAATGACCTATGCCTTAGGACTACCTCCTCCACCCACCCATCCCACTTGCTTCCCATCCTTTCTGTGGGGTCTTTTCTAACAGGCAAACAGCTTTGGGAAACAACTTGGGCATCCTCGACCCATCATGAGGCTTTAGATTTTCACCTGGCTCTCAGAAGAAAATTTTCCTGGGTATGGGACAGAGCCAGATAAAAATGGTTGCAGTGAAGCTTTCAGAAATGGTCTCCACTTCCTTTGTAGCCAAGCAGTGTTGTTTCTGCAGCTGATGCTCAGTTGGCGCAGCTTCTTGACTCGGGTTTCTTATATTCAACAGGCTGCTGGGAAATAAGGAAATATTCTGCATGTTCCTCAGTTATGTCAAGATTGGATTTGAGCACTGGAGATGGAAGAAGGTGATAAGCTACACTACAAGAACTGGATTTAGTTAAGTGTGTGATTGTGTCTTTAAGGGGACATTGTGTGTGTTAATTAGTTAGTTAGTTAGTTAGCTAGCTAGCTAGTTAGTTGGTTCGCATAATTTATATACTTCTCCGTATTTCAAAGAAATCTCTGAGCCATTTGCTATTATTATCATCAAATAAAACAAAGTCTGTATGATTACAAACAGCTTTTAGAAAGATTTTCCAGGATCAGTTTTCATAATATCTACATTAATCACAATGGCATAGTGAATCTGCTCTGTATTTAGGAAAGTGCTTTGTCCATTTGTTCTCTATATTGCCACCAAATGGCACAAGGCTTCCCAAGGTGGGGATAGTGGTCTTCATACACATTGGGATGCCATGCGCCATTTTGAATCAAGATGGCTGCAGCAATATAGGGAAACCAAAGGAAGCTGGTAGGGCTGCTCTGCTGGATCCTTTGAAATCAGCTGACAAGAAAGGACTGTTTCACACTGACTTATTTAACCCACTCCAATGAGATATGGTGCTGGGCCACTAGCTAAGGTGGCTTTTTAAGGGGTTAGAGTCCACCGATGGCAGGAGACTTGAGAAGCACTGTGCAGGGACTTGGCTATTGCTGATCAGTGGTGCCTGCAAAAGCCCTTTTCGCTCAAGTTCTGCCTTCACCTGCCCCTCACCTGATGTCAGGCAAAGAGCAGGTGGACGTGGCTTGGCCAAATCCACTTTGTGGGCAAAATGGGGAGGCCTGGTGGGTCGCCAACCCTGAGGAGCAGTTTGGGGGAAGCACATAGGGCTGAAGTTGGGGCAAGGGAAGCAGGAGCCAGAAAATCCCCCATTGCATGAGCAGACTTCTGATGGATCTTCTCTGGATCTGGTCCAGACTGGACTGCCCAAATTCAATTTCCCCCTCTCTTGGCACACAACTTCCCAGGCAGAACACTGCTTTCAGCCCCGCTCTAGTTAGTAGGTGGGACCTGTACTCCTAACCAGTCTTGATGACCACATAAGTTAGTTTTCATGTTTTGTGGCCTGGCCAAGCCGAAGCTGAAATGTAGGCTTCTGCTGTGTTATTAAGCTCCCTTTCAGCTGAAATCATTTGTTCAAAAAGAGAGAAATTTATTATTTCTCCCATTAGAGTTCATTCTGTGCCTAAAAATAACTAAGCAACAGCTCTTGGAAGCGACTGCACAGAGCATCTCTCTCAAAGAGGGGAAGCTCCTAGCAGGGGTACTATACAATTAAACATTCACACACACACACACACACAACTAGCATTTATACAGACACAAAGAAGGTGGGCATAGGCCCTGCCTACACATCCCTTTCATTACAACAGAAATTATAACAGAAATGTCATAGCATCCTTTTTTTTAATTAAAGTTCTTTAGAAACAAAAGCATATGTGCGTCTCAAACATCCATTTATTTTCTTTACAGCTTTCATCTTGTTTGCCCCCACAACCATCCTGCAATGTAGGCCAAGACAGCGCTGTTCTACTATATTGACGAGAGACTGAGAGAACAAGATTTGTTCTAAGTTCCCCAGTTCAAGGCTGGGCTGGGATTTGACCCTGAGATCAAAGTCAACATTCAAGGACTGCAGATGTAAACAACCTTTTCTCCATATCTGCAAATATACTCTAGTACCCTCTTTTAACTTTAGATTGGAACAGCTCATCTGAGACCCCACAGACTCAGAACAAAGCCATTTTCTAGGGGCTACTGAACCTACCTGCCTACTTTGATGTCCAGTCCTTGCCACTGGAG